TCAAGGGCAAGTTGGAGGCACGACCAGAGGAGGAGGTGGAGGGTTTACAGGCACAAGTGGAGATTTCAGCGGCCAAGCGTTCTCCAGTACCCCTGATCAAATGGGCGGTCAAAAAGGTTTTGGACCAGGAAATCAAAACCTCGGAAACAGCCTTGCACAGCCAACGAAAGCAGGAACGGTGCCCCCAGCATCTCCCCCTGGTAGTTTTGGCAAAAGCGGCGGTGTAATGCAGATGTCCCTTGGGCAGGGTTTGACAGGAAGTCAGGGCAGTTCTGGAGGGATGTTTGGAGATAGAGGGTCGGGTGGAGCCACGATGTGGACAGGAAGTGGAGGTCCTCCATCATCAGCTGGTGGAGCCCTGGACTTTGCTGATGGTGGTGCATTTGGTGGGGACTTTGCTGACGGTGGTGCATTTGGTGGGGATACATTTCAAGCCAAGCCTGCTGCAGCGGCATCTGGACCAGGGAGTACGGGCTCACAGAAAGGGCAGCTTGGCTCAGGGGGCACACAAGCGAGAGGAAATGCCCCAGCACTCAGTCAAGCCAGCAGTGCAAATGCCTTGGTTGGTTTCAGTGACCCGTTCGGAGGAGACACATTTACAGCAGCCCCGTCTGACAGTGCAAGCCGGTCAGGGAGAACAGGAGGTTCGTCAAGACTGGCTTTGGATGGGTTCACAACTGGGGCAACCACGCAAGCTAGTGGTTTTGGACCGTCAGCCACCACTGATGGGAGGTCTTTACCTGCATCGAGCGTAGGTGGATCCCTGTCGATGGTGGTGGCAGGGAAGACAGGCCCGAGTGTGGGAAGAGGGGGTGCCGACCTGCGGGCTTCCATGGCATCAGGTTTTGGGGACACAAAACCACGGGCTGAAGAGGGGGCACTGGCGCTTGTCCCAGTTGCGGGATCTTCGGGGATGGAAGGGCCAAGTGTTTCCCAGGGCCCAACTGCTGCAATGCTTGGGTGGCCACAAATGACTGTTTCAGATGTGCAGAGGTATACAAATATTTACAACTCTGTCGGCCCCGATTCTAATGGCATGATCTTGGCCCCTAAGGCGAAGGAACTGCTGATGAGCTCTCAGCTCCCCGTTGAGGTGCTGAGGCAGGTGTGGGATCTTTCAGATGAGAATGATGATAGCATGTTGTCGTACAAGGAGTTCTGCATTGCTCTCTACCTGGTCGAGAGAACCCGAGAGGGGAGGCCACTCCCTGCTGTGCTGCCATCGGGAATCCATGCGGAGGATTCTCCACTGCATCCTCGTCGACAAATTGCCGCAGCTCGGATTGCTGCAGCGCAGCAGGCGGTCACACAGAGTGCTGCAGGATTCAATGTGGCAAAGTGGTCTCAGGGAGGAGAGGCTTCAATTTTGACAGGAACAGCCGGAACGGGGATGCCAGCGGCAACGAGTGCGGGAGCGGGGCTGCAGCAACTACAGCAACCTCAGCAACCAAGGTTTGGAATGCCTCAAGTTCCCGGCGGCACCGGAATGGGTGCCCGGACTGAATATTCCTCTGATTTTCCCCAAGGGCCTGGGGCTGATGGCACAATGACAGCTGGCACTGCCGCTGCAATGCCTGGCTCAGGAGGTGTGATGTATGGTCCAGGTGGTGCCATCCCCGCTCCTGTTGGTGCCATACCTGGTCCCGGTGGTATGATGCCTGGGCTTGGTGGTGCAATCCCTGGTCGTGGTGGAATGATGGCTGGTCCAGGAGGGATGACACCTGGTGGTGTCGGGATGGTTCCTGGGATGGGCGGCATGATGGCTGGTCCAGGAGGGATGATCCCTGGTGCTGGTGGCATCATTCCTGGCACGGCAGCCATGATCCCTGGCGGTGCGGGTGGCACGGTGATGCCCGGTGGTAGTGCTGGCGCACCGGGCATGGGTGTGGTTGGCTCTGTTACTGGTGCAGCCGGGTTCATGCCTGGGCAAGTCCCCGGTGCTGCACCACCACCCGTGTATCAGTCTCGTGCTCCTACGCTGGACATGAACCTGGCTAATCAGCTCGGCAGGGAAGATCAAGAAGCATTGAAGGCAAGACACAAGGAGACCGAGGAACTTGACAAACGACTGTGGCAAGCGGAAACTCAACTGCTGGATGCTAAACAGAAGGCAGATTACTACAGGACAAAGATGCAGGAGATAATTCTCTTCAAGAGTAGATGTGATAACCGGTTGGTGGAGATGGAAGGACGGTTAGAGCAGGAAAAGAAAGAGGTTGAAGTGCTTTCAAAAAAGTACGACGAGAAGTTCAAGCAGTCGGAGGGTTTGAGCTCCCGACTTCTGGCGGAGGAAGCAGCGTTGAAAGACCTCATAGAGAAGAAGGTGGAGTTGCATAATTCTGTTATGCGCATTGAGCATGGAGGAGACCCGAACTCCTTGTTACAAGAGCGGGCAGATAAGCTTATATCTGAACTAGACGACCTCAGAGCTGCTGCAACATTACGAGCGAAGTCCCTAGGCCTCCAAGTTAAGGTGGCACCGGCCTCGGAAGCAGCCTTCGGTTGGCAAAACGGAATGCAGGAGAATGCGGGGGAATGGGACAGAGAATGGGCGGAGTTTAAGGATGAAGGATTCAGTGTCATCCCTGGGCTTGGCGAGCCTGCCACCGTTGTCCCAGTGACATCCAGTGCCGCATTTGGAGGCGATGCCTTCCGCGGGAATGCCAATCTGGGCGAAAATGGGATAGGAGGCTCCCTGGGTGGCCAACCAACTCTGGCTGCAAGCTGGGGCGGGACGAGTGCGCTGGAAGAAAGCTTCGAGTTTAATAGTGCAAGTGGTGCATTTGCTGGGGGAGGGTTGGGAGCATTTGGCGGGAATGCAGTTCGAGGAATGGGGTCCCCGGCGGGGTTGCAGTCGCCCTCATCTGGGGCACTGCCGTCAGGGCAGAGCTCCCCAGTGGCAGGCCAGATGCATTCGCCCGGTAGAGACAGTGATGATTTGGGGTTTGGGCGAGTGGGTAGCATGGACATGTCGAGCTCGAGTCCAATTATGGGGCCTGGTTCAAGCAGCGGGAACAATGGCATCCTGAGTATGGGGCGGGTGGGATCCACCGGCAGTGTTGGGAGTGGGAAATCCAGCCAACTTCCGCCTCGACCAAATCCAAGGTATGCTGGCGTTGCAGAATCGCAGGATCTTGGGGCGAGTGTGGATGGTCTCAGCTCATCAATGTCATTGACTTCGCTGACAAGCTCGGCTGGAGGGTTCACCAGCATGGGTGTTGCATCCAAAAGCCCTCATGGTGGTGGCATGGGCTCAGGGATGGGTAATGCGGCAGGAAACAGACAGCGTGGCTGGGCATATGGTGGCCTTAATGACGACGACGTCGATAGCAGCACTAGGGCTTCATGGGGCTTGCAGAGTGTATCGATGAGTGTCACTGCATCAGTGGACACTGTTGGTGGTGCTGGCATGATGGCCTCTGGGCTGGATGGCCCTCTTGGACGGTCTCAACCGTCGAAGTTCGTGCAGAAGTCTTTGGACGAACAGAATAACAAGTCTGTGGGTGCATCGGATGCAAAAGCAGCCAGTGTCACAGCTGGAGATGCGGACGATAACAAGAGTGATATCTCTGGTACGGCCTCTGAGCTGAGAGACTCCCAGAAGGACGAGGAGCAGCCGCAGGCACAGGCATCGCCCCCTCCTCCCGACCCATTTGCATTCATTGGTTTCAGCGTTGCCAAGAGTACGATGTCACTTGGCAGTAAAGACAAGGGAGCTAATAAGAGCAAACCCACAATAAGTGGAGCAGATATCTCTGCACAGCCAAAGGTAGCAGAAATACTATCTTCTTCGGCGGCGCAGCAGGCAGGAGGAGACGCAAGGCCTATCTCCACAACATCTTCCACAGAAATTCCATGGGATCTGTTTTCATGATTGTGCTGCCAGACAGGTGTTGGATCTCTAGCTTTTCTGTCATTTGGAACATGTTATTGAGTGACCTTGGCCTTGGGAAATGGGCGTTGGACATTGTCGACGTGGCGAGTGGAATGTTTCTTCTCTCCTTCTCAAGATTATAGTGTTGAAGGTTCAGCCCTTTTCGATTCTTGAAAATTTGAAAACCCTCTTATGATTTATTGACGATTAGCAAGAACCCCCATCAAGTCAGTGCTTGTTGCGTGGGCGCTTCATAGGCGTGGGGGAGGAAGCACCCCTGCCCCAGGGTTAATGCCCTGATGTTCAGGTGTCGTCTGGCCAGAATGGTCGTATATGGAATAATAATGCCCCTATTGCTTGTAGGCCTTCAAAGGCATATCCAATAGGAGTTATGTTTTGTTTGTGAAGAGTGGTCAGTCAGACCATACTAGCAGGACCAGGGGCGGCAGCAGAATGGTAACCACTAGAACTTCTAAGGAGCACACAGCCTGAGACCAATTTGGCTTGGTCACTTCTGTGTGATGCAGTGCTGCGTTTTTTCGGAGTCCCATCATAAATGAATCTGCGTCCTATCTAAGAGCTTCTACTGGAATAGCTATGCTGCTGTTCATGGCAACAATAAGGTTTTGTTAACCCACAGTGCCCCCCTGGCTGGTGCCCTCCCTCCCTCCCTCCCTCC